GCCCCCAATTACTGCACTAGGCCCCCAATTATATTTATTGCATGTTATTGTCAACTTCAACTTGAAGAACAATCCATGGTTACAAGCTCTCTCTCATAACTGCTTGAAATCTCATTAAACTATATAAAAAAATAAGTATAAAGAATAAGGAAAAGGAACGGGAATGAAGCCAATACCAGAAGTGAAACCCCACCAAAGAATAATTGATCCTTAGGTAGACCTGGTGAAATAAAGTAACTGAACTGTAAGTATAAGAAAAGACGGAAGGAATAAAGGAGAGAGGAAATAATGTTATGTGAACATCATCAGCAGATGACTTGGCACACCGGTTTCGGGGGTTTAATACCTGTACCGGTTTTAATGTGCCAAGACCCCCTAGCAATCACTCGTCAGTGATCACCTGTCCACGTTAAATGTGATGTCAAGGATGTCGCTGACATCAAGTATACTGTATTTGTACAGAATACTAGGTCGGTCTTTCAGAAGCTTTCTGAATTTACTCTTCAGGAGTCTGTCATTATAACATCTTGAAAGAAGTGTCCTATAAAGGGTGTTGGTAGAACACAGAAAAGAATCAAGGTCAGAGATAATGGAAGAGTAACGAAGGACCTGACCGTAAAAAACATTATAACCAAAAGAAGAGGAAATATTACTGTTAGGAAAGATGTACAATGTACATGACCACAGGAAAGTTGAAGTCATCAAGTTTGTTGTAAAGCTTGGTGGCGACGTGTCCGGAGTTATTCATCGAGATGTTGATGTCGAATAGTTTACGGATTTATTGTCGTCACCACTCCTCTCCATAAGCAGGTCAGGTGGATAAATGGACCTGATTAGGTTAGAGAAATACAAATAGTTCATGGTGTTGAGGTCGTCGACATATCTGCAGTTTCTTGAGAGGAGCTTAGCGAGACCGAACTTCTTTTCTTTGATTAGGCGTGTCATGTAGTTGAATTCACACTTCCCTAGCGAAAGATCAGCGAACTGGCTACTAGAATTCCCTCCCATGGGAATGCCTTTCGTTTGCCTTAAAATCTGATCCCCAAAACAAACAAAAGTGTTAAACAGAATAAATGTAATAGCTGTTTTGAGTTTATCAGCAGAAAAACATAAGTATCCGTTACATTCCTTTTTAGAGAAAAATTGTTGTTCTTATACAGAGAAACACAAATAAATTTATTCGTATTACTAAAGAGGAGATATATTAGCTCGAAAAGCAGTGACTGTACAACCTGAAGGTCTAGATTGGTATACAGAGTGGTAATGTCGTATACCTGCATATTAAAAATCTCTAGTCTAGGCAGCCTTTCCAGGAACTGTTTAGAGCTGTTAATGCTCCAGTCGCAGTTAATTCCAGTATTGTTGTAGATAGAGTTGCAGTATTTGGAAAAGTATTCTTTTAAAACTTTTAAAGCTTTGTTGACTACAACTGATATCTGCTTAGTGGTACATTTACTGGCCCCAGCTATAAATCTAGACTTATAGTTATAAGGATTCTTGTGAAGTTTAGGAATCCAAAAGATTCTCGGTAGACAAAGGTTGTCCTCAGAAACACGAATATCAAAGTTATCTTTAATGAAGTTCACATGTTCCTGAATAATATCATTCTCTACAGAGTTAACCGGATGATAAGTAGAATTTCCACGACACTCTAGAGAAGTGAGATGGTAGCCAAGTTCGTTGAGAAGGGTTAAAAGATAAAACTTCTTGCAGACAAAAACATAATTATTTGAAGCTTTATCTACGGAGCAAATAATAAAAGAAGAAGAAAGACTGTCGAGATAAGATTTAACATCATCCCTTTGTAGAATGGAATTGTAGGGAGTGAAGTTATTATGGGGAGGAGGAGAGGAAGTTAAGGCGATTGGTGAAGATCCGGGAGACCTCATCTTTCCAATCCTGGAATTCCAAGCATGAAAGTCCATGATTCCTAGCCATACGGGTGGCGAAGTTGGATGAACACTCGTTGAGGCTCTCCAAGATTTGCTCAGGAGGAACATACACAGGTTCCCTAAATTTGGTACCGTAACTCATGATGCCTCTTAAATCCTCGTGCTCAATGAAAGCAAGGTCACCGGTGATGATGTGGCCTCGAGGCTGATAGCAATAAGGGTTACAGGAACAGGGGCAATCACCTTCCAGGATGGAGGAAATAGTAGTATTATCAAGTGATTTAAGGAATCTATTATAATTAAAAAGCTTACGCCCGACAGGAATATCGTACTTATAGTAAACTTTTAAGGGAAGGAAAGGCGTAAGGTTTGGAGGGAGAAGAGTCAAGATCCTAGAATCACGAATGACTGATTCTATTCGGAGTTTATCAAATATTTTAGAACAATAGTGAAAAGTGATAAACTCGCTATTAACAGAGGTGATATTAGGAGAAGAAGTGCTGTCTTGGTCAGCAAAAGATTGTATAACAAGGAAAATGGCTCCAGATTTGCAGAGGGAATGAGAGCTAAGTTGCTTGAGCTCGCCTTTTTGAAGGCTGCTTATATCTTTATAAAAGTTGTATTTGCTTTCAGACATTTTTCTTTTTAAACTTTCATATTTATTGTCTATCTCTCTTAAAGTGAGAGTCCTTTTGTATATTCTATCTTCATGGCTTTTCTTTTTCTTTTTTCTGCCATGTCCTCTTTTATATCTTTTTATTTTACTTTTAAAATAAATATCGTTAAAGTTGCTTTTAGAAATATTACCAGAACCTTTTATGTTGTCATTGAGACCTAGAGGGTGAGCAGTGCTCAGGAGATTAATCCAAAGAAGTTCCCTGTCAGCTAAGGCCAGACGAGGGTCTTCAGTAGAGGAAGGGTCAATAAAATCAATAATTTGAATGGAGGCGTCATGAAAATTATGACCGGGAGTATTAAAGTGGTCATGGACAAAGGAGGATTTGCCGGCTGTTCTGTGAGCCCAACATATTGAAGTTCAAGCAGTTATGAGAGAGAGCTTGGAACCATGGATTGTTCTGTTAGTGTTCAGTTAGTGTAGTTGCAATTCTTCCCAGCTTTGTTTGGATGTTTTACTGTTTGAAAAGTTGTGCAATGTGTTATAAATATACTGACTATCTACGGGTGTACGTCTGTCAGAATGATGCGGCTGTCAGAATGAAGTTTTTATCAAAGATCAAATTACTTTGTTAGAAACTTGATTTTGGGCATATTAAACAGGTTTGCATATACTAAAAACACAAATAAACACATTCTTTTATGTATCGGTTGTTACTGATGTTTTTGATCAACTTTTTTTGAATGCAGAATATCATCATTCTGACAGCCGCCATACCATCATTCTGACAGCCGTTTGAATTTTCTGTTTTAATTTGTTAACACATGTTTATTGAGGGTTTTTTAGGGTATGAATGCATACTTTTAGAGTTGTTTGATATACCAGTACCAGGTCTTATAGGGATAACTTTAACAACAAGATCACAAAACTGCCTCATATTTATGCAATGTCAAAATTTGAAAGTGTATTTCCAAATATTTCAGTGATAAATCATTTTTAGCCTTTCTTTCAGTGATGGAAGTGTTTTTAGTATATGCAAACCTGTTTAATATGCCCAAAATAAAGTTTCTAACAACGTAATTTGATTTTTGATAAAAACTTCATTCTGACAGCCGCATCATTCTGACAGCCTTACACCCGTAGATAGTGATAATGTACTGATATAAATAGATTTTCATTCATATGAACTATGAAGTTTCGTATAAAGTTTAAGATTCGTATAAAGTCGGCTGGGTGGTGTAGTGGTAACACGATCGCCTTCCAAGCAGAAGGCCCGGGTTCAAATCCGGTCGGATGCAAGTCGGCCAGTTACCAAGCTGTGATTTGGTACAGCTTCGGCTGGTGATACACACTCTGTGGCTCGTAGGACTAACCCCCCTACAGCTAGTATAGTGCCTCGGCACAGAGTGGCTTAGGGTTACTGAAAAGAGATAAGCACCTCAGGCCATCCCAACTTGTGGGAGAGACCTGTCCTTGTATCTTGTATCTTGTTGTATAAAGTTTTAAGATTTTTATGATAATCTTGGTTCACCTAAGTTTTGAGTCTAACATTTTATATTTAGTAGTTTCTCTAAAGATGATTTATTTGAAGATTCAAGAGCCTAAACTGTGTATGATTCGCCTCTAGCTCTCCAAACAAATCTAAAACGATATATTGCCAGATCCCAGTTCATTTTGTAACAGAGTTTTATATTAACAGGAAACGATGTAACAGAGTCGATATATTTTAATGTTGCCATGGGGTGGCAAGTCCCCATACATCGTGGTCCGATAGTTTCATTGCGTCCTAATATAATATAGAGCTATTTGAGCGGAATTGAATGAAAATATCTACGTGAATTCTTATTTCCTTTTCTGTGATTACATCTTGGTTCCGGTGACTGAACCACTTCATGGTAAACATCTCGTTTCGATTAATCCCCTTTGTTATTTTGGTCAACGCCGCCGCCGATCACTTGAACCACGGCGGACAAGCCTAATACAATAAAATCCTGATTTACCGCTGAGTTTGGGGGAAGGAAACAACCGCGGTAAATCGGGGTTTGCACTAAATCGGGATTTTGTTTGTTCACATTATCATGATTATGCATGTTAAGCCCAATTTGGGGGAAGGAAATAGCCGCAGTAAATCGTGGTTTGCGGTAAATCGGGGCACGGTGAATCGGGGTTTTACTGTATGTATAAAAAACTACTATAAAAAACTACTATAAAAAACTACTATATATAGTAGTTTTTGAAAGTATGTAAGTAGTACATTCAAGTATCGAGACCAAAAATGTGACACATCATACGGTGGAGCATTTCTGGAGCAAAAAGAAATCAGAAAATAATACTGAAAACAAAATGTATCGTTGATGTTCCTCAATTTCTCTCTCTGTGTATAATTCAGGAACCCTTCATTTTATAATTTGCATTCCTCAGACGGTAAAGTCAAACAATTTTATTTAAAGAACATGTTTTATCTGATAAAGATAAATGATATATAAGATTTAAAGATACACAATTTAAAATCAAGGATTATATACTTATATAACCAATCAGCACATCTATTTTGGAAATTTTTCCTTTCCGACTTAGATATAAAATCATATCACTTCTCAGTCTACTGTAAAGAAAAAGTTTATCTACTAAATACAAGTAAGTTTCCGACTATCCCGCTCTCAAAACATGTTATAGATCATTGTCACCACCACCACAAAGACAAACTGGTGACGATATCCGGAGTTGAGCCTGTATTCATTTTCAGAGGGTGTGCAAGATGCACCCTTCTGATTTGCAGACCCGGCTAATTCACAACCCATTAGCTGGGACATCTTCTCTGCTGAGATGTGTCTCTTCTCCACCAAACACATGGCTAGTTTCATCACAGGGTTAGGGACGGGGGTGATGGTTATTGTGGTCGGGTAGGCGTATTTCTGTCCTAGAATGGGGTAATCATCTGTCAGATGCACGTCATCTTCAGGTCGATTGCGGGTTGGTATGGGCTTGTAGGACAGCAGAGAGGAAGCACAGCTGCTGAACTGTTGGATTGTGCTTTCTTGTGGGATACAGTCTACAACTGCTTTCGTTTCCTTATCATCAAGATCAGCTCTTATCAGCTCGTCCAAAGGGGCTAGGATTTGTTTCATTTCTGAAACTGTGGGTCTGATTGTGTCCAGTGTTGTCCCACGATAAGGAAATTGCCAGGCACCATAACTGTGCTCCTTTTCAGACCACCCCCCGTTAAAGTAAGCATGCTCTCCGATGAAAAAGCTAGTGGAAACTGTGTTTTTCTGCCAGTACGGCTTTGCTTGCAGCGAAAGGATAGACTTCCATAGATCAGAGCATGTTCTTGAAGTATCCACTGAATTTTCACAGAATTTGGTAAATTCATCTTCTGTTATTTCAAGATCCTTGTTTTTGTCAGCTGCTAGAATCGTAGTATCTGATGATGAAATACTATCCTCATAGTCTTTTCTCAGCTCAGTGCACTGGGCCATCTTCTGTGTCTGCTCTGGGCTCAGCACCGCAAACAAGTCAATCTTCTTTGTTCCAACTTCCATCTCGTTTGGAAATTCCTTTTGGCTTAGAACAACAGTCAAAGGCTCGTTCAGATCGTAAGTTTTGTCTGTTGGCTTCGACCAAGCACAGTCACCTTCGTCAAATGAGTGTCCGAAAGCATTTTCCATTGTACCTCCATGGCTATAAGCAAACCTTACCCCTCCTTCAGTCTGCTTGTCCCAATCCTCTTGTAGCCAATTCCTCAAACGAACTCGCATGATTTTCTTGATATCTGAACCCCGATCGGAATCAGTCTTTGGTTCATATCCAGCCTTCCTCTCGTAATCCTGGGCGCCGTGTATACCGTTGTCCAAAGGAAGAGGCTCCTCTTTAACCTCAGTGATCCCAAACCAGTATCCTACTTGTTTAGCAGAATTCTTAGAACGCTCGTAAGAGGAGGATACCAGGCTGTCTATTTGTACTCCAGCTTTTAGAAGAGATTGTCCTTGTACACTTGATCGGCGTAGACCTGGTGGAGGTTTATTAAAGATAGTCAACTTTGACGGAATAATTGAAATAGGGTTAACAAAAATTGATTGTATGGCGTCTAAAAATTTCAAAACGTAATCCTAAAACGGGCTGAAACGGGTGAACAATGTTGCGATACGATTTAATGTGACAATGTTAGACAATTACAACAAACATGTCGTCCGGAAATTAAAAACGTGCAAACCAACCTGCTGGAGAAAGTCTCCTTTGAAGAAAGATGCTGTAATTAGGATCAGTACATACTCCATCAGCACCACATCCTTTCTTTTCTGGAGGGCCAACATTCCAGTTGGTTTGATCATGCCGGCATGTGGCTGTGTATCCACCGCTGGTTATCTCGTCTCTGATCCTCAGCAGTTCGGTGCAGGTTGCTGCTTGAAGACTGCTCCCAGTTTTAGAGAGCTTACATTGGCTCGGAAAGGCGCAATGTTTTCCTGCTGCTTTGGTTAGGTCACTAGAGAGGACAGCTCCAGAGGAGTAGGACCGGTAAACTCTCTCGGTGGGTGTGCAAGAAGTGCTCTTTTGTTCAAACACCTTTTCCATGTTTTCTTCTAGTTCCTCCACAGTGTACGCAGGCTCGCTAACATCTCCAAAGTTGTCATCCAGGGGTTCAAAGGGGCATTCGATTGCGGCCGTCATCGTAAAAGATACAAGTAGGAGAAAGGGTTTTAGGGAACCAGCCATTATCAAGAGAGAGTAGATGTGAATCTTCGAGAAATGCTAAGAATAAGAATATCGTGTTATAATTTTTAAAAAAGACTACAGTTAATGTGTTTAATTATGAAATTTACAGGCTTTAATGATGTAGTTTTACGAAGATTTCAAGACTTTCAACGTTGTGTGTTTCCCTTCGTGTCCAAAAGCATTATATAATGAAATTTTTTTTCTTTAATTGGTCATCTTTCTTCCCAGTAAAGATGGTAGCAACTAGCACAAGCAAATAAATTATTAACGAACGAAAGGATTTCGAATTGCCACCGTGACAACAACAATTTCAGAGATTCAAAACAAAGCAGGAATTTCATTAAATAAAAATGATAGACTGACAAAGAGAAATCAGCAACCTCTGGCTTACAATAACAATTTTGAAATTAGATCACTTTCGTCATAAGCTGATGGTCTGTTTATCTTATCAAGAGTTCACCGCCCGCACCCTGTACAAACAGTACAGGGCGGCTCTGGCTTACAATAAAAATTTTGAAATTAGATCACTTTCGTCATAAGCTGATGGTCTGTTTATCTTATCAAGAGTTCACCGCCCTGTACAAACAGTACACATTAGTCTCCCATTGAACTTCCGGTGAACACTTGATATGATTAACATTCCCGCAGCAGTCAGCTTATGGTTAGAGTAGTCTCATTTCAAATTTGTTATTTCAAATTTGTTATTTTAACTGGAAGTTTACCGGGTGTTGTGCGAGATGAAGATATATTTCTGAGGAAAAGAAGCCCGGAAGCTGGAGACTTCTGGCTCACAATAACACTTTGTGAGCACTGTAATCATTGTGATTGTTTATACATTCTGCATTCAGCAGTTCCGTAGCACATCACGTATCGTAGTTCACTTCCAAGAATCCTCCTCGTTTACAAGAAACTTGGTCGAATCTTCCAGAAAATTAGATGGAATGTTTTTACTTCACAAGCATAATCATTGACGTCAAATCAGTAATTAACTTAATTAAATCGACATCAGCGTTATTTCAGGTTATCAAATTTAAAACCCGCCCGGTATTAACATTACCATATCTGACTATCTTCAACTCTTTAATACCGAAAGTAAAAGCTAGACTAGAAGTTGAGGTGACGTATTGACAACTGATATCAGTGACGAGAATGAAACTTGAGCTTCATGGAATTAGACCACATACAAGCTGCAAGCAGTAAGTCACACTTTTCAGATGCCTCTTTACTTTCTGTTCGCCCCGTTAGCCGAGATAAGACTGCCATAAGTTACAGCTCAGTAATTTGTGGTCGTTACACTATAGTTACAGCACCAGTATTTGTGTCGTTACACTTTATTTACAGCTCCAGTATTTGTGGTCGTTACACTTTAAGTTACAGTCCGCTCCATATTTGTGTCGTACACCTTTATTACAGCTCCAGTATATGTGGTCGATACAATTATTACAGCTCCAGTAATTTGTGGTCGTAACACTTTAGTTACAGCTCCCAGTAATTTGTGTCGTTACACTGTAGTTACAGCTCCATATTTGTGTCTTCACTTTATTACAGCTCCAGTATTTGGTCGTTACCCTTTAGTACAGCTCCAGTATTTGTGGTGTTACACTTAGTTACAGCTCCAGTATGTGTGGTCCGTTACACTTTAGTTACAGCTCCAGTATTTGTGGTCGTAACACTTTATTACAGCTCCATATTTGTGTTCTTACACTTTAGTTTTACAGCTCCAGTATTTGTGGTCGTTGACACTTTAGTTACAGCTCCAGTATTTTGGTCGTTACACATTAGTTTACAGCTCCCAGTATTTGTAGACGTTACACTTTTAGTTACAGCTCCATATTGTAGACGTTCACTTTAGTTTACAGCTCCAGTATTACAACATATTCTCATTCCTCAATTATCTACGACAGTTATTATATGAAAACTAAACTGAGTATCAATGTATGTTAGTAAAGCCTCAGTTGCTGCAACAGTACTTATCACTAACTAGACCGGTGAGTCACTAAACCACACACTTTAGACCCACTTTATGAGGGCACGTGACATCTCCAGAGATTACTGCTTCTCCGATATTTTACATCACGTAATTGGGGTCTAATTGAGAGGTGAACTTGATAAGACTACAGAGATTACACTTCCCTTATTTTACATCATTTATAAGTTGTTGGGTCTAATTGAGAGGTGAGACTTGATAAGAACTACAGAGATTACAGCTTCCCGTTATTTTACATCACTTAATTGGGTCTAATTGAAAGGTGAGACGTGATAAGCACTACAGAGGGTGCGCACGCCCTGAAGCACTATCATGTCTATGGAGCTTCCCACTTACTGATTTACTTATTTCGTATGTTTAGAACTGTATGTTTCCGTAGAGTTATAAGGTATAGAGTTTCCCTCACGTCATTACACACATTCCCCACCAAGCACGTACCATTGTATACAGTTGTAAATATAAATGAGTTTAAAGTCCCAATCTGTTTCCGGCATCTTCCTATGTTGATCGCTTTGCAGGACTAATGCTAGTGCCTACTGGACTATAACCACTCGGCCCGAGCTTTTGTTAACTGTAATCGTTTTGTGGTGGTACATTTCAACTATTCGTCCTAACAACTTGTTGTGTGGTACATTCCAACTATTTCGTCTAACAACTCGTTTTGATCCTTGTTTCAACAGTTCCATATTTAACACAACAAGATAGATAGGGCACAGTGGTCAGGTTGGCAACGGTATGGTATCTTAGGTGGGCTGTTCACCAGCTATTTCTGTTATAACCTCAATAACGCCCAGTTTAAAGTGGTATCTTTTCCATTAATAATTATTGCAAGTTATTAATGTCGTATCAGAAATATACCCGTATCATAATATTATTAATTTATCAATTGTCAGGCAAACATGGATTGTCGTAGAAAAATTACATTTTTGTCTTTTGTACTTTTTTATACGTACTTTAGAAGTAGCACCATCGCCATCTTGTTTTGCACTTTGGTCCACCTTTAGTAACTTTGTAAAATGTACCGTACTGATACAATAGCTAATAAATCCAAGTTTTCTACAAATAGCACAGTTAAAAAAAGGGTACCCTACCAGATATCAGGAGTGTAGAATGGGTGCAGGGAATAAATTGTGATACCGATTCCTAGCTACCATTCCAACGTTTTAGGGCACTTTTAAAATGAATAATTAAGTAGAAAACTATTTTGTTCCATTTCACATGTAATGCGTGATAATCAAGAGTCTCCGAAACTCATTATTATCTCTTCAATTTCTCAGCTAACAAAATCTACCCTCTCTATTCACATCAGGAATTAAGGGATATCTAACCCCCCTATTCACTGTTTCAGGATTGAAGGATATCTAACCCTCTATTCCAAGATTCAGATTGAAGGGATATCTAACCCTTATTCACAATTTCAGGATTGAAGGGATACTAACGACTACTTAAGCTCTGTCTTCAGCTGCAACACTTTCTCCAAAGTTGAGTATGGGTCGATATAGGCTACAGATTGCTAGTGTTGGGGGGTATGTGCTGTGAACTGTTAGAGACTACCTCTCCTACCCTTCCTACACGGAGATATCCATCCACAATTCTCAGATAGTATTACCATTCCGGCCATCCAAGCGAACATCAACCTCATCAACCGTACAAAGATGAGAACACCAGTGCATAGTTAAAATTCCCCAGACATTACTGTCCTACTATTTGATCAAGCTCTTCGGCTCAATATAGGTTCGTCAGATTCAGATAGGAGGAGCCGGAAAGAAAATCCGTATGAAAAGATAATTAAAATGAACATCAGGAGAAATTACCGTTTGGGACTATTATCAACTTTCGATCGTAGACATTACCCTTTGCAAAGAAAAGGTTCCAAAAACTTCCCAATGCAGGAATACGTCAATTTTGGATTCACAGAGATGGAACTGCCTTGAGAAAAATGATATCCAGCTGTTTATTCCAAGCGTGTTAACGTCCTATAGGGGGGCTTCCCATGATACTGGACGCTAGAACAGAAGATTATGTGGACAAAAACCGAGGCTGAGGGGTTCTTTGGTCCGGAGAATGCCAAATGAAACAGTTATCAGCAAGGAGTACGCCTTCGCGATCACCTGCAAGGAAACGTTTGTCCAACTTGACACACACAATGAATAGGTTGAAGGCTCCCTACGGAGATTGTCAGGACACAGAAGACGTACTCAAGATCAGAGAAGAGGAGGAGAGATAACAGATTATCTGACGACAAAAAGAGTGTTTCAACCACCATTGCTGTTGAAGTTTATGAACGAACCCAAATGCAAAGTTACCCCAGTACGTTTACGCCAGAACCACTTTAAGAAACATGAGCAGAGAGGGACACAGCACTTGAATCCCAACGCTACACCTACGTCACAACCGAGATACCGGAGGAGAATAGGATAAACTTTTGACAACAGCACGTGCTACTACGAAGATGATACTCGTACAGTGGCGGGTGCTAGTCTCACTAGACTCCCTTCTCACAGCTGAGACTGTGCGCTGTCCAGTGCAAGTTAAACGAGGGACTGTTGGTCTTCCATGTGGTTAATGCCCTTTGGTGAGACAGGGTGTGCACAGTGTGTGAGTTTTGACCGTAGTGCTGTGTTAAGCGAGGATTTAGAGTACAGGGTGACGAGGGGAGAAACAAACTGCACGCTGAGTTGGGGGAGTGTGATATTACGAAGGAGGCTGGTGTGAGAACATGGTTATGAGACACCATGATGTCCGAGCAACAACCCTTCGGCAACCCATGAATTGATACGAGCCGTGCTCTTATAATATAACAACATACACGTTTTATCATCCAGCAACTTTCCTAGTTTTAAAGGGAACGCCCTGGAACAGCGAGCTGGCTCGTCATTTCCTCATTATACAACATTCGCACAAGCTCAGAGAAACTTGGTGAAACTGATATTTTACAAGCAAGTGATGAGACGACCGAAGAGGTGCAGACCTGCAGCAAAAACTGGAGGAGCTTTACTGGCGAGTTGGGTGGAACTCTAGATCTGTTTGTGGGAATTTCCATGATAACTATTTATAAGATAGTTGAGTGGTTGTTATATTTGTGTTTAGCTAGGCGAGGAAATGAACCTTCTGAACAGGATATTAGTAGTATGAAGCGGAACTCTTTGCAAGTTGTGTCGGAATGATCAGAACTGCTAACTGCTGTACAGTATTCATTTTTGAGAACGTTTAAATTTATAGTTAATGTGCTCAGGGAAGCATATTTTTAATTTTGGTAGAATAATGGTCTCGAGCGCTGAAGTGATATGCTGTGATTCACATTTGATTATTTTATTGGTTTTGACACGGATGATACCTATTTTAAAGTGTAGATGTTATTACACAATTTTTTTCAGAACTTTTATCAGACAAAATTCTGAGCTTCTTTTATAATTAGCCGGTTATCAATTATCTTGCACAATTCCAGATAGCTCGACAACACTTTTTACCATTTAGATAAGTTCATTTATGCGCTGAAACCCCCCCCCCCCCCCCCCCCGCTGAAAGCTGTATTTTTATAATTTAATTACTCGCCAAAAAATGTTGTTTTGTTGAACGCTTTTGTTTACTTATTTGTCATATGCCGTGACGAAATCAAATCCGACCTGAAATGCAATCACATACCAGCAATTGAAAAGCCAGAATGAGTATTTAACTACAAATAACTCAGGATCACTAGCAAAATGTTTACACATTCCATACTTAGACGGTAGTTTGTATTTGCATTTGTATAGATCCATACAGTTTTCCATAATTCCATTACACTCAAAATGAAATCTCTAAAGAACCTCCAGCCTCCCAAAATAAAACTGCCCACCAAAGAATCTGAGACGGGCTCCAGAATTACAAATGGTGATGACACTAACTCTGTATCAACCGAGGGCCTTATCGCAGCTAGACCCCAGCTGGTTAACCAGCTGCTCCTGCAACTAGTAGCTGTTAATACAGGTTAATAATGTACTGTTATAAGGGAAACTAGTTGCTGTTAATACAGGTTAATAATGTACTGTTATAAGGGAAACTAGTAGCTGTTAATACAGGTTAATAATGTACTGTTATAAGGGAAACTAGTAGCTGTTAATACAGGTTAATAATGTACTGTTATAAGGGAAACTAGTTGCTGTTAATACAGGTTAATAATGTACTGTTATAAGGGAAACTAGTAGCTGTTAATACAGGTTAATAATGTACTGTTATAAGGGAAACTAGTAGCTGTTAATACAGGGTAATAATGTTATAAGGCAGGTGAGAAGGCTGACACTAAGGGTGATCTAATCAATGTTTTGTAATTTGATCTTCTTTCTACATTCTAAAGGCTTTTGTCTTTGTCGCGCTTGTTTCTGCTAAAAACTGAGGACGAACGCAAATTTATATTGAATAAGCATCACGTGATGAGACTATTCACGTGCACTACATAGTTCTCAACGCATGAACATAGCTGCCTAGTAAGAGAGGAAATACTGCTATTATAAAAGGTAACAAGGGTAACGATTTAAGGGTAACAAGGGTAACGTTGGTCAGGTATCGAGGGTAACGATTTAAGGGTAACAATTACAAGGGTAACGAGTTAAGTGTAACAAGGGTAACGTTGATCAGGTATCGAGGGTAACGATTTAAGGGTAACAATTACAAGGGTAACGAGTTAAGGGTAACAAGGGTAACGTTGGTCAGGTATCGAGGGTAACGATTTAAGGGTAACAATTACAAGGGTAACGAGTTAAGTGTAACAAGGGTAACGTTGATCAGGTATCGAGGAGAAACTGAAGGGATACGAGGAGAAGATCCGACAGTACGAGGAGAGAATCAATGAGTTGGAAGCAGACGAGCAGGTCCTACCTCCTGTTGTATTGGAGTCTCCTGTCTACCGGCCCCTCTCAATCAAGAGTACTGAGAAGACACTGCTGGCTAAATGGGACCTTGTCGAGGAGAAAGCAGGTTTGGAAATTATTGATTAATTAATAACATGATTAGTAGAGATGTTCGCTTAAATTAAAGGTTTTCTTCTAGGCTAGATCAAATCATATTTTTTCACAGGTATACTCATGGTTTTAATATCCATCGGAGCTCTTGCGTTTCTGGGGGTCACCTGGCTTGACATTAAGAACTCTGACGTAACAGACACTAATACAGGTGAAAATTCATAGCCAGATTAACTTTTGGGAATAAAAAATGGTCTAGGAGTTTGTTAATATTAATGCAAGATACAAGTTCTTGCTATAAATTCATTAAAATTCGTATAATTGGTGTGCACAGGTTGGATCCTGCGGTATTTCGATGACCATGGCGACGGTAATATTTACATAAATCAGATGTGTTTGACTACAGCTCTCCTCTTTGACCTGACGTCTCTAATGATCTGGTGTTTGAGACAGGTATTATAGACAGTAGACACGCGATAGACACGTGATAGACAGTAGACACGTGCTAGACGCGTGATAGACACGTGCTAGACACGCGATAGACAGTAGACACGTGCTAGACACGTGATAGACAGTAGACACGAGCTAGACGCGTGATAGACAGTAGACACGTGCTAGACACGGGATAGACAGTAGACACGTGCTAGACACGGGATAGACAGTAGACACGTGCTAGACGCGTGATAGACAGTAGACACGTGCTAGACACGTGATAGACAGTAGACACGAGCTAGACGCGTGATAGACAGTAGACACGCGATAGACAGTAGACACGTGATAGACGCGTGATAGACAGTAGACACGTGATAGACGCGTGATAGACAGTAGACACGTGCTAGACGCGTGATAGACAGTAGACACGTGCTAGACGCGTGATAGACAGTAGACACGTGATAGACAGTAGACACGTGCTAGACACGTGATAGAACAAGAAATTATAATGTTATCTCATGCTCTACTCACGATAAGATTTGATACCTTTAACCTTGTATCTTACAACAAACGTCAATCAAATCAATATGTTGCAGTATTAGGGTTTCTTGAAAGTCGACAAGGCCCTTGTTCAAAATGTACATAAAGTGGGCGTGGCTTTGATTAACTACTCCCTGAAACTTGACAGTGAACCCTCAGGTAAAAGTATTCAAGTACGAGGATTTCAGAGAGTTACACAAAGTGAGCGGAGTTCTGCCAGCCATCCTCCTTGCGCTCCACTTCTTATACTTTCAGGTAATTTCACCTTTACATTCCCTGGAGACAGTTGAACACTGAACACGTTATCAGTTGGGTTTAATAACTTTCACACAGTGCAAAAACTAGCACGTGACACAGTTAACACGTGACATAGCTAGCACGTGACATAGCTAGCACGTGACACAGTTATCACGTGACATAGCTAGCACGTGACATAGCTAGCACGTGACACAGTTAACACGTGACATAGCTAGCACGTGACATAGCTAGCACGTGACACAGTTCGCACAGGATTGGGAATTGATGGAAACCTAAACCTGTCAAGTAACGTTGCTTCAACATTCCAACAGCACCTCATAAACTACGAGTAACCTAATAACGTCCCCAGTGGGAGGGAAGCTGGCTGCTGCTCTCCAATGCTCCACTCTACTGTGTAGCGACTGGAGGTACCTTCCTGGTACACATCCTCTCTCTGGTTGGTGCTGAGTTAAACAAGGTCCACTGCTTCAGAGGCGACCTCAGATTCGTTAAAACTTCACCCGTGTGAGAGAAAATGTGAAACTTACTGTATGTATTGATAATGCCTTCGACAAAAATTTGGTATACGTTTTTTGTTGATGAATATTTGGTGATTTGTTTTTCATGCTCTGGTATGGATGCTTTTTATTGTTTCTTACCTCTAAATACTTAAGTTTAGGACATCCCTCCAGTATTCTCTTAAACGTGTCATCGTCAACATTAACACAGCATTCCAAAGACAGCTTGTGTAGATTTCTACATTTGCTAAGTTCTTGAAGACTTTCTTTTGTCAGCTCCAACCCTGCCTCTGCAATAGTTGAAGTAGAAACCAAAATTAAACTGAGTGCTTTAACTCTGTCAATTCTTGCTTTAATTCTGTTTATATAGTTACAATCCAGTGCAGCAACATCTTTATGAAGCATCGGGATATTTAGGTTGATCTGCCCATTAAAACTTAAATAAAATGTTATGTCTTACTTGTTTCTTTGCTCCCAATAGAAAGACATCTTACATCAGTGCTAAACTTCTTGACAAGTTTAATGAGTTGGTCATCTTGGATGTGGAAGCTAGGGTCGCAATCTATTCTCTGATACCTGCATGATAGAAATTCTACAGTCATAGCGACCAATTCAACACCTTCTTGAAATTTATTATAATTATAAATACAAAATTGCGCCAATAAGAATATTACAAGATAAGCAGCTTACCTGCATTTGCTGCGTATAGCCTCGTCAAGATTGGGTTCACCGTACAAACTGACACGAGGTTTAAAGTAGGGGAAGTTTATTTTGGGCACCATTCCTAGCTCTCGTCTCTTGTTAACTGAGTTATCCTGTAGTAGGTATATAGGTAGGTGTAGGTTGGGTTACAGCAATTTTTATCACGAACAAGTTTGAAAATTAGCGATTAGCTAGAATACATTCGGTCAACTTTAAATGGAATACATTTTTGTGGGTGCGTGCGCTTCATAATGAAATACACCTTCGAGAGTACGTGGTGTTTGAAGAATGGAATGAATTCCAACCTGCTCTGAATCGCTAAAATCACCCTCTGTGAAGAACAACATGTGTCCGTAACAATCTGTCCCCATCTTTTTACCAAAGTCGACACAGCATCTCCGACATAAACCGCGGTCACATACATCTTTAGGTCTGTTCCTACAGTTTATATAGGGCGACTGACACTGGAAAGGTAATTAATGAGAACTGGAGCAAGAATGATAACTTTAGCTTTACAAATTGCGTATTTTGGAGACCTTGTATGGCTGTTGAAACCTAAAGACATTAGATAAGTCTAGTAAACATTAAATATCAACACACAAAAAAGAGAAGAAATATTAATTAAAGAAACCTTATCATTCTCCAGCGCCTCTACGTTCATCTTGTTCTCCTTATTTTCTATCTCTAAGGGTTTGTAGATGCCACTCCAGACCTCTCCGGCACTCAGAATCTCGTTTGGGTCTATGCCAAGTTTCAATATCGTCTGGCGTCTTCTCAGCGGGTCAGTTTGAGATAGGTGGTAGTTTATAGCTGAAAAGTGATCTTTATTTTGCGGATCTGTGGGTAAATCATATATATAATGGCAATGAAATTTGTGTAAGTATTATGATAATGGTTGCATGCAATGTTCGTCATTGACTATTGGGATTAGCCAGATAAATCGCAAAAATGTAACCAGTAAACATTTAGGTTATTCAAATTTGTCATATTATTGGTGGAAATATGGGGGATCATGTTCCCCCCCCCCCCCACATATCGTCGCCATCTATTTCTCTGGTTTTATGTGTTATTTTCACCATGGCCAAGGTCAAAAATTGGTAGATTTCATCGCCTAGTGTTTAAGTGTTGGTGCCACCGAAAACCTGCACACATTCAATAATTAATAATAAGTTTATTTCCAACGTCGTTGACTGAAACCCACAAAATGTATATTCAGTGCTTTTCAATGTAAGACAGGGCTACACAAGTAAGTAATTACTACTTAACAGGAGAACACCTGACACCTCTTTTCGAGGTGTCAGCAACTAAAACTATCAGCAAATATCACGTTCAAGTATTAAATACTTACACAAGTATTAAATATTTACACAAGTATTAAATATTTACACAAGTATTAAATACTTACACAAGTATTACATACTTACACAAGTATTAAATATTTACACAAGTATTAAATACTTACAAAAGTAGCAGTATACAAACTATACATTGTATACTATACAATATACATATCATACCTCTAGGATGGACACCGAAAGCTCGGTGGAAGACACGACGAAGATGCTGTTTCTCCACATCAGACATTGGTTTAGCCAAGGTGTCGCAAACTGCTTCAGCTCTGACCATGTCGTTCTCAAATCTCACTATGTCAGCTATTTCTTGGATGTCGGGACGCTTGAACAGACCGTGGCACATGGTCTGAAGTGTGATTTGGAGATCAATTAAATAGTGATTAGTTTATTACACTTGTGGAGCAATCTTATTAAATCTCTCACAACAATACGGGTAAAAGTTTGATAATAGATTGAAACAAGCACACTACCTGTACATTAATTCCGAACACGTTCCCTTTAACACCAGACCTTTAAACAGTTAACAGATGATGAGTTTGATAAATGATATCAGTGCGCCTAACGAGTTACGACTGCTTGGAAGATTATATGAAAAGGGAAAATTCTCCAGCTCCGGCATACTCCATAACTTATTTCAATTAACAAGACGTGTGATGTAGAATTAACAGTGGGCTTCATTAGAAAGCATGGGTATCACGCTTGCAAGATGACTTAATTTCGAGACGTCTCATGATAAGAACGGTCGTGCGCTAACGTGTTTCCATGCAATGACGCCGGTATACTTTTATTCTACCAAACCATGTAATTTTATAAAATGCGCGGCTGTTAGCATTTGACTGCGCGCACAGAGCCGATTTCGCATGGGTCCAACCACGTGGTGTAATAAGTCGATGGTGTTATCTGCCAGGATTTTAAAGAAATTCCGTAATGCTTATCAGTGAAATATTTAAAACAACGATAGTTTCAAAAGCTTTGATAGATTTTCTGATATGCAAGTGAGATCATTGTGATGTGAACGTTTAGTAGATGAACATAGGACATGTTGAACCGTGCAGTTCCAATAAATTCAATAAATTCGGACGATATGAGGCGATTATAGGGGGCGACGAGTCGTCGCCCCCATAATCGCCTCATATCGTCGCCGACGACAATTGAAAAGTTTAAAACACTTAAATCAGAGGTGACTGTTACGGAATATTGGGCCCAATATTGCAGTGAGAGTAAGGTTTATCATGATTGACAGCGATTCCAAGAAAAATCATCGTGTGCCGATATAGATTATAATAGGTCGTCAAAATACCATAAATCATACACTTTGTGTCATACATTTCAGTCTTGGTCCTAAGCCAGATGGCTTATTACAATGCCTGCGTCATGCATACTATCCCATTAATGATTCAAATAGTACAGGACGTTTCCCAATATTTCATAGCCAAAGACATGTACACGAGGACTAATTCAAGGGCCCACGTACCTAAATCTGGAATGCAATGGTTCAGATAAGCTGGCAACCAGTGGCGTAACGACACTGCTGGTAACTGGTGAAAATAAAAACCCTTTTGTGTCCTAAAAGCGTTTCAGTATTCCAAAGGTGCAGTACTTAATTCACTCTCTCAGAATGGTCAGGTACAGTTTATTTTAAGGGTGTATTCAGATTATAATAGTAAAATAGCGCTAACTCTATTTATACCCTATATGCGAAAGCCTGCAGAATTATTCGTAATAACAGCTTTATATTTTCACTTCATATCACAGTGTCAGGATCATGTTTCCAGGGACAATATAATAGACATAACGTTAATTTAAGAATTAAGATTCCGCTCATCTCAAACCTTAATACTTAGTGACTGCACAGTGTACATGTTCAAAGTCCCAATAAATGTCCCTATTATAATGACAACAAAGTCCCTAACCTTGATAAAGTCCCGTTTTTCGAAGTCGGTCCAAGCCACCACTTCTTGTATGGTGTCCACCATGTCAGCTGTTCGACCAGGGTCTACTTTAGTGGGACAGCGGCACACGTACGTAGGGCATCTGAAGGAAATCTTACATTAAACCTGGCAATCTTACATTGAACCTGGCAATCTTACATTAAACCTGGCAATCTTACATTAAACCTGGCACTCTTACATTAAACCTGGCAATCTTACATTAAACCTGGCAATCTTACATCAAACCTGGCAATCTTACATCAAACCTGGCAATCTTACATTAAACCTGGCAATCTTACATTAAACCTGGCAATCTTACATTAAACCTGGCAATCTTACATTAAACCTGGCAATCTTACATTAAACCTGGCAATCTTACATTAAACCTGGCAATCTTACATTAAACCTGGCAATCTTACATTAAACCTGACAATCTTACATTAAACCTGGCAATCTTACATTAAACCTGGCACTCTTACATTAAACCTGGCAATCTTACATTAAACCTGGCACTCTTACATTAAACCTGGCAATCTTACATTAAACCTGGAAATCTCACATTAAACCTGGCAATCTTACATTAAACCTGGCAATCTTACATTAAACCTGGCAATCTTACATTAAACCTGGAAATCTTATATTAAACCTGGCAATCTTACATTAAACCTGGCAATCTTACATTAAACCTGGCAATCTTACATTAAACCTGGCAATCTTACATTAAACCTGGCAATCTTACATTAAACCTGGCAATTTTACATAAAATGTGGTAATCTTACATAAAATGTGGCAATTATCCATAAAACCCGGCAATGGAAACATGACAAGTTTGGCAATGACATCTCCTGTGACCGGAATTTTTAAACGTCGTAGAATTTCTGCATTTTGAAAACGTAAGAAGTTGAAACTTCTAATCCGAGGATAAGACGTTAAGATGCTTGGTGCACTTTGTGCACTGCTGGTGCACTGCTGCACTGCATACTTGGTGCACTTTGCTGTATTTAATTTCATCCAGTTCACATAAATTATTCATGCTTAAATTCCTAATATCAATATAAGGTCCTTCGCATATATAGCTCATTAGTCGATTTTTGGAAAGTACCGCCGTACCGGCCTCCGCTGTACCGTCCTCCGCCGGACTGTACACCGCCGCAGTGACTTCCGCCACTGAGTCCTATACCCGATTGTTGACCAAAAAGTAAGTTGTATCAGCTTTGAATACGAGGAATATTATTTGATTTCTGATCTTCATTAAGCGATGAGACGCAGCCTTGAATGCGGTCAGGGTTTAGAACTAAACCAGGATAAAAATTACCCATCCCAATAAATAAATTTGTAATTATCTGTATTTGTGAAACTAGCTTAAAACACAATACTCGAACGTAAGTGGCGATACGTTTAAAGTACATACTAAATAGTACGTTACCTGCAGAATTCGTCTTCTTGAACGTTGTACTGCTGAATGTGTGTTCGCAGAAAAGACGCTATAACACTAGGTTGAAGATACGCTGCAAGGATCTTGAGGTACACCGAGAAATCCTGTAAAGACTGTTACTTTAACTCAAAGAGATATCCTAATTTATATCTTGTTCATATTCCTGAGCCATCCAAAAATATTCAAATTTATATATTTATTATCGAAATATATTCAAATTCATGTAACATCCATTTTCGAAATATATTCGAAATTGGCGGGTTTTTTATCATGTACATGTGGCTAGCAGTGAGCCAATTACAATATGTTATATCGCTCGTAATATATAATACATCTTGTACAGGTATGTACTTTGTAACGCTACCGGGACTTTTCCTGTACATCCTCTAGACGTGATCAATAAAAAACAAGAGTAACACGATTAGTCACCACACCACACTTTACTCCCTGCTACTGGGTACTTAGTAAAACTTACTCCCTGCTACTGGAGTACTTAGTAAAACTTACTCCCTGCTACTGGAGTACTTAGTAAAACTTACTCCCTGCTACTGGAGTACTTAGTAAAACTTACTCCCTGCTACTGGAGTACTTAGTAAAACTTACTCCCTGCTACTGGAGTACTTAGTAAAACTTACTCCCTGCTACTGGAGTACTTAGTAAAACTTACTCCCTGCTACTGGAGTACTTAGTAAAACTTACTCCCTGCTACTGGAGTACTTAGTAAAACTTACTCCCTGCTACTGGAGTACTTAGTAAAACTTACTCCCTGCTACTGGAGTACTTAGTAAAACTTACTCCCTGCTACTGGAGTACTTAGTAAAACTTACTCCCTGCTACTAGAGTACTTAGTAAAACTTACTCCCTGCTACTGGAGTACTTAGTAAAACTTACTCCCTGCTACTGGAGTACTTAGTAAAACTTACTCCCTGCTACTGGAGTACTTAGTAAAACTTACTCCCTGCTACTGGAGTACTTAGTAAAACTTACTCCCTGCTACTGGAGTACTTAGTAAAACTTACTCCCTGCTACTGGAGTACTTAGTAAAAATTACTCCCTGCTACTGGAGTACTTAGTAAAACTTACTCCCTGCTACTGGAGTACTTAGTAAAACTTACTCCCTGCTACTGGAGTACTGAGTAAAACTTACTCCCTGCTACTGGAGTACTTAGTAAAACTTACTCCCTGCTACTGGAGTACTTAGTAAA